TACAGGACCTCAAGGAAGAACAGTTTAGAACAGATAGAACTATCCAGTATAAATAAGGTTAGTTTTGTTTAGGTTTCGTCCTGTGGTAACACTGGATCAATAAGAGATGATCCTTACTGGACCTCTAGGAAGAACAGTATAGAACTGCTAGAGCTATCCAGTATAAATAAAGTTAGTTTAGTTTAGGCTTCCTCCTGTAGTAACACTGGATCAATAAGAGATGATCCTTACTGGACCTCTAGGAAGAACAGTTTGGAACTGATATAGCCATCCAGTATAAATAAAGTTAGTTTTATACAACAAACCTTATTTTGAAGTGCTTGCTGTATGGTAGAAATCTGTTGTGCGACCACAGACAACACTTCGACATCAATGCGATTGAATTCATCAAAACACGCCCATGCCCCAGAGCTGAGAATAAGACATGAATTTAGCAAATGATGCCACATAACAAAAAATGTAAGGAAGTTGTAATAAATTCTGCAGTTGAACAACTTTCTTTCAAAACTTATAATACCTGGCGAGTCCCTTAAAGAATTTCCCCATGGCCATAAAGTCCAGCTGATCAGAACAGTTGAATACGACGCATTGGATCGCCATAGCTTTGGCCAGATCCTACACGAAATGTAAGATTCAAAGCGTTTAATATTAGTTTAATACTTGTTTTAACATCAGGTTTTCTCAAGCACTCAGAGACCATTGGCAAAAATCTTAAAGCCGGCAGCTGGGATGAAATCTTCTCCTATCTCACACTTGGAAATCTGGTGTATTTAAGAGGCAATTTTCTTCAATATCGTGTATTTGCCGTGAAAAGTGTTCAAAACCTAAATCTTTTTGGTGTTCCTCTCAAATTACTTTGTTTTAGCTTTATTTTTGTAGTTTACATAGTTAGCAACCTTTTAAATGCATCTGGCGGTTGAGAAACACAAATTAATAGTTAAATATTGTCAATTTAAATACAATTATCATTGATGCTGTAAAATTCGCGCCATATTTGTACAGGAATATAGGCCGTGGGCTGTTGTGCGAAAAAGTGCCTAGAAAAGCAATTTCGTGGCACCCTCCTGGGAAATAGATTTTCTGTGGTTCAATTCATAGAACCATAGATGCTTAATTACCACAAAAAGTTCCCAAGCAAAAAACTTGCCCAACACCGAGAAAATGGGTGATCAGTGATTATCCTCTATTAAATTGTATTACAGCAAGAAAATGTAAAATTTTGTATTCAATTACAACAAAAATTTTTTATATCTAAAATTGTTTTCGAGTTATATGCTGTCAAGAACGCGTTTTTGACCTAGTACCCAGTCCTTATTGCGACATTTTGGTCCAATTTTCACATTTAAAACAGCAATAACTTAAAGACTATTTGAAAAATCAAAAAACTGTTTAAAAGTCTTATATGCGGTTTTTTGTACGTTTTCCGATGATGAAAGTCATTTTTATTGTAATTGAATACAGAATTTCCCATTTTTTTGCTGTAATACAATTTAATAGAGGATAATCATTGATCACCCATTTTCTCGGGATTGGGCAACTTTTTTGCTTGGGAACTTTTTTTGGTAGTGATGTACCTATATGCCTTTCAAATAAACCCCAAACCAAGTATTTCCCACATGGGTGCCACGAAGCGAAATAATTTTGACCAACAGCCCACGGCGAAATATAAGCAAAAGTTACTGAACTTCAGACATCATTTTCTCTTTGGCGTACCATCTAAAATCTCTTCATTTTAGCAGAATTTTACAGATAAAGCACTAAACATACTTTTTAAGTTTGTTTGCCGCTTCAGAAACGTATCAAAAATTTAAAAAATGGAATATAGTCTTAACGAAGTGGAACGTATATTGATTAGTTTTGAGCGCGTGTGACGTAACATACAAAATATTCCCTTCTTAGTCACTGTGGAATGAGATCTAACTCATCCGACTCTAACCTTTGTTGTTTCCGTCTTGCCAGTCCCAGCTGGCCCCGCAGGCGCTCCACCGAAGGTCAAATGTAGCGCTCCAGTTAATGTAAGGTAACATCGGTCAGTGAGAGGGGTGATGACGAGTCGGCCACTGTTACCAAGATATTCGTAACCGTATTTAAATTCTGCATTTACTGCCCGAATCAGGAGGTCGTCTTCCCAGTAATACCTTAAATAAAAACACAGAAAAAATATTTATAATCTCGAATTTAGTTCTCTACTGTTATTGAGGTAGCGGATGTATAATATGAAAATACAGCAACAACTTGCAAGCTTTGAAGCCCCTTCGCCCTTTTCGTTATATTTCTATATATAGCAATGCTGTTCCAACAACTTGTCAACAGGATGTGTTCGCACTGCTTGTTCCCAGCTTGTTGACAACTTGTTACAAGGTTGTTGAGCTCAAGTTGTTCCAACAACTTGTTATCGTCCTGCATTCAGCAATTTGTCAACAAGTTGTGAGTGACAACCTTGTAGCAACTTGATAAAATAACAGCATTGTTACAACTTGTCGACAAGCTTGCTGCAAGCCTGTTGCGAACACATCTTGTTGACAAGTTGTGAGATTTTTACGTGTATATTCTCAAAACTCATTTTGTGGAACTGACGAACATTATCCAACCATGGAATAAGGGATGAACCTTACTGAACCTCTGAAAAGAACGATTTAAACATAACCGATACATTTATCCAGGATACGTTTGAAATCGTATACAACATTCATCCAGTACCTCAGCTGACTAATCCACTCAAAATCGTTGATATTCTTGACATTTTCTTGTACCATTTTATCGACAACATCACAGGCGTGAACCTAAGATATAAAATATGGTAAGTCCATTGAGCTGCATTGCGCCCTGGTGGGCCCTACTTTGTTACTTTACCCTGTCTAACGCCAGACAATTTTAATGGTCAAAGGGAGAGCGCAGGCCCCGTTAGGTCCTGTTTACATGAGACCGCGGAACAAATTCAAACCGGGGCCATTTCGTTTCGGTCATAATATTATTTATAATAGATGATATTTGCTGTGTTGGTGTAATGTACTCAGGTGAATAAGATGCAGCTTGTGTGATGTTACTCTGAGTGTATATCCACACCGGACAGGCTTGAAAAATATGCCTGGCCACGGTGGGAATCGAACCTACGACCTTTAGAATACTCAAGAGTAACATCACACAAGCATCTATAATAGATGTTTACATGAGACCTGGACGAAAATAACTCATGCCGGTCTCACGTCATTCCGCCTGCTGGACCAAGCCGACTGACTTCAGACCGGCATGAATTCAGACCGGGATGAATGTAAACACAAATACATTTAAGATTGGTCTCGACTGCAACCTTAACATTGGAACAACACATGCTAACAAAAGTCATCTATAAAAAAGAAACTTGCCTGGCAAGGGGAATAAATTGAAAATTTTGTGATTTTCGTACCGGTCTTATATGTAAACATGTTGACAATTTTAATTTTCATTCCGATTTGACTTCGTTCCGATCTCATGTAAACGGGGCCTAACATTACAAGCATTTGATAATGAAAATAAAAATTACAAAAGGAATTAACGTGGAAGTCAAGTCCGTTCTAGGCATCGGTTCTGCTCATAACAATGTGAGGACCTCTGATGTGAACATTGCCCAAATTTCGAATGTTTCGAATTTTTTAAACATAAACTCTATTTCATATTCATTTACTGAAGCATAGCGAACCAAAATGGTGTTAGATATTCAGACAGTACATCATATTTTAAAACATACAGCAGTTCAAAATGTAAACAAACCGTTTGTTTACATTACGGACTTGACTTCAACTTTAAATATTCAAATGTAAAAACTACGCGTTGGTCGTGCTAGTTACCAAGCCTTTCTAACGCGTTTTCTCTGGCCGCGTCGTGAATCGTAAACTCTCTATTTACACACTGGAGTACTTTGACTGGCTTTATATTAAACTCTATTGCACTCCTATACGTACCTCAATGACAATTAAAGCACCCAGTATCGCCCTTTCCAGTTTAGACAACTGACCTCTCACGAGTGAAACCAAATCGCTTAACTAGAAAAATAGTGCAAAAATTAAAGGTTTACTTCGCTACGCATAAGAATTGACACGGAGCGGTCGATCTGTTCTCAGGCAAAGGTTTCACAACAAATACCGATAGCTTGCAAACCTGTTTCTTCAGAATGACAAACAATTCTTTCAGTTCGCCCTTCTCCAAAGCTTCTGAGACTTCCTTAGTCCAATGTGTCTGACAGCCAGCAATGACGATCTGACCTGGCCACTGTAACACCCATTCAGGACGAGGAGTCTGGAGGTAGCATAAAGAACATTAATAAAATTTCTAACTTTATTTATACTGTTATACTGTGTATATCCAGTGTTACTACAGGGGGAAACCTAAACTAAACTATAACTTTATTTATATATAGATCAGTTCATCTATCAGTTCTAAACTGTTCTTCCTAGAGGTCTAGTAAGGATCATCTCTTATTGATTCAGTGTTGCTACAGGAGGAAACCTAAACTAAACTAACTTTATTTATACTGGATAGCTTTATCAGTTCTAAACTGTTCTTCCTAGAGGTCCATTAAGGATCATCTCTTATTGATCCAGTGTTGCTACAGGAGGAAACCTAAACTAACTAACTTTATTTATACTGGATATAGTTCTATCAGTTCTATAAACTGTTCTCCCTAGAGGTCCAGTAAGGATCATCTCGTATTGATCCAGTGTTACTACAGGAGGAAACCTAAACTAAACTAACTTTATTTATACTGGATAGTTCTATCAGTTCTAAACTGTTCTTCCTAGACGTCCAGTAAGGATCATCTCTTATTGATCTAGTGTTACTACAGGAGGAAACCTAAACTAAACTAACTTTACTTATACTGGATAGCTCTATCAGTTCTATAAACTGTCATCCCTAGACGTCCAGTAAGGATCATCTCTTATTGATCCAGTGTTACTACAGGAGGAAACCTAAACTAAACTAACTTTACTTATACTGGATAGTTCTATCAGTTCTATAAACTGTCATCCCTAGACGTCCAGTAAGAGTCATCTCGTATTGATCCAGTGCATGTTACTACAGGAGGAAACCTAAACTGAGCTAACTTAGGTGAAAATATTATTTCCTATATTTAGTGGAATTTTTTATGCTATTCTACTTTCAGGCAAAATTTGGTGATGGTTAGTTGCCTGCTTTTAAAATTAGAGAGGCCTCTAAATTTGTCTTATTACACCACTATATATACTATGCCAACAACACCGGCCTACCAACACAAAACCCCATCTTCAGAAACAAAAGTGATAAAGTTCCAGAACAGCGTAACCGGATTAATATTATAGCTGCATGAGTATTAGCAACAGCTGAAGTTGAAACCAAAACCCGCGTTGAAGTAACTACTTCACAATAGGAAAAGTAAATACAGTAACTTGATATTGCAAACCCTGTCATTAAAATATTTTCGAAAGTAAACTAGTGCAAAGGAATATATAAGTACTCAAGTCCGGTTAATTCAGTTGGATTTGTCTTTGCTTGTATACCTTCCTGCATGATAATGCATGTCTTTTAGACTAATGTGTAGTAGATAGTTGATACAGAGTTCTTTGAAAACGAGCAAAAGTCGAAAGGCCCACGTAGATCAGTGTTTGATAAACAAAAATCAGAGTAGATAACACTATGATCTTATAGATAACACTCTGATCTGCATAACACTCCAATCTTATACTAGCCTAAAATTTTTTTATATATGTTGTGTCTGATAATTTGCCTATAGATGCGTATTATATTTTCTATTCAACATTATTCAGTTATCTTTGTTACTCAGGAGCCAATAGCAAAATGTGAATGCAGTTTTTCAAAGTTTAACAACTATTAAAATCAACATTTGAAGGATATAACTAATCTTAGCTTTAGTTTGACGAATTAAAATGCATAACGTGTTTCTTCTACATGGAGTATGGTATGTATAATGATGTACAACTGTACAAAATCAAGACTGCTAAAACCTCTTAGAGCGAGTAAATTTACGGCTTATAACGTCAGCTCCAATTTTAATTAACGAATGCTCGCATCAGTGAACGGGCAAATAAACGCCTGCTATACTAAACCGCAAGAATAATTGTGTGCTTTTAATGTTTGATAAGAGAGAGAAACAAATACATTTTCTAGTTAAACTAAATCACGAGAATATTTCAGTCATTTAACAGAAGGAAATGAATAATCACTTGGTGTCATTAGCAGTTCCATAACGAAGTAGGTTTTTTTTTCATATCCGTTCGCCGCTTTCAAACGGCAATACATATGACGTCCGCACGTTTCCGACCGTAAACATTTAAGCAGCCCCGACTTTTCCGGCGAAATTTGTCAGCCATCTGATGATTCCTCTTGGATGAAATATGCTGTTGTGGCAACCTTTTGAGGTAAGACGACTATTTCTGCTCTGTGCAGTTGGTGTGATATTCGAAAGGATTTTACCGATTTAACACTTATAGATGTAGAATATAGATGTGTCTATATGATGTCGAGCATGCACTCTTTAGCATTTCGTTAATTAATAGGCCTCGGCTCAAAAACATACGACTCGCACTTAATGGACCTTTAACCTTATAACTAAAATTTTGATCTAGACAAAAATTTCATCACAGCTTGAAAGAGCATCACAAAATTAGTAATGTTGTAAAATGCGGATAATATAGCCTTGCGAAGTTTGCAATTTTCAATCATTTTCGATTACAAACGGGAAATTGATACCCAAACACCCGATTTCGGTATCAATTTCGCTTTTGTAATCTAAAATGACTGAAAATTGCAAACTTCGCAAGGCTATATATTATCCGCATTTTACAACATTTTGCAACGAAACTTTGGAATATTACTAATTTTGTGATGCTCTTTTAAGCTGTGATGAAATTTTTGTCTAGATCAAAATTTTAGTTATAAGTTTAAAGCTCCATTAATTAAACAAATACAGCCACGTCATCTTTGGTAGCAAAACTTTATAAACAATGGCACAACGATCAGATCCAGCGGACAATCCACGGTATTCAATCATGACGATAAACATGAACGGGCCGTCCGCTAAAAAGGGAACTGCAAAGAGACGTAGGAAATTGTTGTCCCGTACATTCGAATCGTCTCCTTCAGATATAGTCTTCTGCCAAGAAACGTGCCCGGGATTCGAAGAACTAATGGCAGCTCCAGAGAACTTCAAAATCGCGAATACAGGAAAGGAAGCAGCTGTAATATGGTCAACCAAACACTTCAATGGCTCACAAGATGGACTTAAGGCAACGGACAGACAAATAAGGACAATACGTAATGAAATATGTGAACAAAATGAAGATGTCAGTGAACTTTTATCTAAAATAGCAATGGCCAAACTGACGCCTCGACTGCAGTCGACTGACAGTATACTGGCGGTTTCATTTCATGGGCCCCACAACAGATTTACTGGGGAGAAAAAGAAAAGAGTTTTCTTAAGTCTTCTGAAGTTTCTTGATAAAGTAATTGAGGAGAAAAATATACGTTCTTATATCATCGGCGGGGATTTCAACTTTGATACAAGTACGATTACGGAACTTCCCAATCTCCCAGAGGATGTAGTGGTCGGTTCCTATGAGTTAAGCCCTCGGTCACAGGATAGAATAGGACCGTTTATACCTTACAAGGACAACTTTATATATTATCCAGAGCCAAACTTAAATGTGCTTCTGATAAAAGCTATTGATTTGGATCGTATAGATCCTGAAGATAGTTTTCTGCTGGACCATGATCCTATCGTTGGGATGTTGCATTTTACTCCTCAAACTAAAGAGGGCTCGCCATCTGAAGATGTTGAAACCCTTTCAAAAGACTTGAAACGCTGGAAACCCTTTTAAAAGACTCGATAAAAAGTAAGGATTTCTGGCGAGACAGAAGGAGCAGAAGCTTTCCATGCAACAACGTAGTAGATAAATCAAACGAAAGGTCGCACATAGAGAACTAAAGCTTTAGGTATGTAAACAACTCATGAACTTATCGCTTATCATCACAAACTATACGTGCAGTTTATGACATGAAAATGTCTGTCGTTAAGAATAATTTGGGGCAATGTACTGGCATGCAAAATTCAGCTTATTTTCATTTAAATTTTAAAAGTTATGTTGTTCTAGAAACTTCCATCTGAATTAATAAATATTGTTATAAAGACACAGCTATACCTATTGTTTTAAACACATGGGCATGGTGTCTTATTTATTTAAACTCACAGATTTTGTATCAATTTTTCATCATTAATTTTTAATTCTTGTTATTAAAAATTTATCTTCTATATGTACGACTTTTTCAGCTTTTTTATGGGGTATCTGTCCCCTGCCGTAATTTCGCGGTATACGTATTTTACTAATTGACCTAACTTCATGCAGATCGGAATCCTTCAGAGTATATCCACGTAATTTTGTTTCGTAATTTTAGCTAAATATCACTTCAAAATTCAGACTGACAAAATGGCGCTGTGGCTGTGATGAAATTAATATACGGTTCATGTCCTAAACTAAACTAACTTAATTTATACTGGGTAGCTCTACCAGTTCTAAACTGTTCTTCCTAGAGGTCCAGTAAGGATCATCTCTTATTGATCCAGTGTTACTACAGGAGGAAACCTAAACTAAACTAACTTTATTTATACTGGATAGCTCCATCTGTTCTAAACTGTTCTTCCTTGAGGTCCAGTAAGGATCATCTCTTATTGATCCAGTGTTACTACAGGAGGAAACCTAAACTAAGCTAACTTTATTTATACTGGATAGTTCCATCAGTTCTCCCCAGAGGTCCAGTAAGGATCATCTCTTAATGATCCACTGCCCATCAACATCTCAACACCAATGTCTTACCTGTTCGTAGGCAACAATAGCCCGATGAAGGATGCTCTTCAAGCTAGCTTGCATGACTCTCTCCACCTCTAGTAACCAGTCCTCCACATTACCCCGGGGATACATCTCCTCGGAGAAAGGAACCCCTTCACCATCGGAAGAAAACATCCTCGAGATACGAAGATCGTCTTCAAATTGAAGCTGAAATATAAAATTTTAAAACAGCCAAGTTTACTAGCGTTATAGTATGATGCTGTTCTAACCTGTAGTTAGGGAGCGGTCATTATTTATGGCGGGGGCTGGCAACGAAGAGAAATGCAGTTTTTCTTGGCAAAAATGTTGCTGATCCAACCATTAAAAAGTCAAAAAATTTTTTGACCCAACCTCAAAATCAGCCACAAAATAATACCCACCCCTGGCCAAAAATTTTACATAAGGATACCATTCAGTTGTTACACATGTCCTTTACCACTTCTGTGACATGAGTTTGATAACTGCTTGTGCAATTTTCTGCAGTCTAAAGTTTCATGTTGTCTGCACATGTACTTTCTTTGGAGACACCATTTGCCTCCTGACAAATCAGAAAATGATCAAGATAGTGACTCTGATTGATTCACATATTGTATTGACATACGACTGATGACAGTGCTTTTTAGTCTTCAATATTTGAGCGAGTCATGCTTTGTAAATGACAAGAAATTTTTATTACCCAACCCTTGAGTTGTTTTGTTTTTCATTTACCCAACCTTTTACTCACTCAACATTTTGTTTACCCAACCCTTTTCTCTTCGGTGCTACCCCTCCATAAATAATGACCCCTCCCTTATCAGAAGGAGAAAATAATGTGACTTCTTTTTATTATTATGCAATTGTCTTCTATTTGAAATAGAATATAAATAAATACAATTGAAATAGAGAGATAGTGAAATAGAAAATAAATTTATAAAATTGAAACAGAGAGATGTTGTTGAATTAGAAAGCTACGGAGTCATAAGTATAGACCCATTGCACTGACGTCACAAATCCTTAGAGTGTCCTCCAGATGCTCCCTAACAATATCTGTTCGCACACAACAACCACATACAGCACAAAAATTAACCATTTTAACACAAAATTATTATAAACTTTTAAAAAATTTGCTTTGTTTACAAAAGCTATATTATGCATAGATTGCTAATTTGTCCTCCAGATGCATCGTCACTGGCGCTGTGACGTCAGGTGCAATGGGTCTATACAACAACTTGAAAAATACAATTGTAATAAAGGAGCCTACACTCACCCTGGCGATATTTTCAAAGCATTTTCTGAGATGAGGTTGTACGGCTGTGGGATCCTTGGTTTGGGAAAGTATTTCCAAAAGTTCGTCATCTGACAGAAAGAAGAAACGAGGGAAGGCGCTCCTCTTCGTCTCCAGATATTCACTCAAACCTTTTTGAACCTAAAATGTGAAATAAATATTTCATTACCAAGTTAGAAACGTTCAGCTAGTAGGGGCGACTAAACTAAGGGACCGGTCATTATTTATGGTGGGGTTGGCACCGAAGAGAAAAGGGTTGGGTAAACTAAATTTTGAGTGAGTAAAAGGTTGGGTAAATGAAAAACAAAACAACTCAAGGGTTGGGCAATAAAAATTTATTGTCATTTCCAAAGCATGACCCACTGAAATATTGAAGACTGAAAAGCAATGTCAACAGTCATTTGTCAATACAATATGTGAATCAATCAGAGTCACTATCTTGATCATAGTTTGGCAAAACAAATTGTGTCTCCAAAGAAAGTACATGTGCAGACAACATGAAACTTTAGACTGCAGAAAATTGCACAAGCAGTTATCAAACTCGTGTCACAGAAGTGGTAAAGGACATGTGTGACAACTGAATGGTATCCTTTTGTAAAGTTTTTGGCCA